AGGTTGCGGAGGTTGTGAGACATGTTGTCCTGAAACAATGGGCTGTTCCTGTAGGCATACCGTGAACTGAATGAAATAGTGGTCAGACGTGTGTAGAGGTGGAACTGTTTTGTATTCGGTGACACAGTTTGGACAAGAACGAGGTCGAGCACCTTGCCAGCTTTGTGGGTCATGGGGTGAGAACCAGTTTTAGATCAAAGGACTGAATCAGTGACAGGAAGTCTGCTGAGTTTGATTTGTCTAAGTGAATGTTCATGTCACTGAGGATGGCCATGCTGAAGACAGCAGTGTGTCTTGCTCGTCCACAAAGTTATCTCTATCTGTCCTGGTGGATGGTATATGACAATCACAGAGACCTGTACCATAGCGGACACCAAGACAGCATGATATTCGAAGGAGGCATATTGATTCGGGGGTAGCAGTTGTGTGAATTTCCATTCGTTGGAAATTAAGAGCCCAGTCACCCCGCCTCCCAGACAGACGGGGGGTGTGGGTGAAAGAGTAGTTGGTGGACAGCACAGCATGGGCAGCAGAGTTGTCTGGTTTGACCCAGGTCTCAGTGAGCGTCAATAGCTCGAGAGATAATGTATTTGTATAAGCATTGATAATGTCAGCTTTGTTGACTGCAGACTGGCAGTTACATGACCCAAAAGAGAAGTAAACAGATGTGGGTGGTTTCTGTTTTAAAGGCGTGAGGAGTGCCTAATGGCATGATACCTCTTGCGTGCACCAGAGACACAGGAAACAGGAATGGCATGGTAGCACATGGGGTAAGTGCAGTTTTTGCTGGTGGCTTTAGGTGGGTAGGTGAGCATTGAAAAAGTTACCCTTGTTGGTGGCTTGCTCCGTGGACTCGCTGGTCATGTCACGCTGACGCTTCAGTGATAGGTTTCATTGAAGAAGAGTGAAGTAGTAGGAGTCTAATTGCATACAGGTGTTGTGCATTAGGACTGATTGCACTCAGCGGAGATTGTCCTCCAGATTAACAAGACAAGTGGTTGGTTTCAGTGGGTGGGACACACACCCAGTTGTTTGAGTTCGCTCAGCCGGCCTTTAGTTTCATTGTATTTCACTAGCAAGGACCAATCAACAGGTATGATTAAATGATTTATTAGTGATCGAAACAGAAAGATGTACGAGGCTTGCGGTTGCCGAAGAGACATTTGAAAGTGTTGTGGGGAAGCTACGATAGGAAAATCTGCCATAGCACCGGGCACGACGGACCCCCTTATAACCCTATGGAGAAGAAGAAGATCAGGAGGCAGGAGTTAGAACATGTGGATATTTATGGAAATTCTGGCGATGACGTGGTTGATGTGTGGTCCTGCTCCTGAAACTCTGCTAATTAGCACCACTTAAAGGTTTTGCAAACTGTGTACGGTTGAACAACCCACAAACATCTGGAATTTCTACTCCACATTGATAGACAACATAACTTGGAACTATGAACTCTGTCAGTTAGTATTCAAATTGGATTACAGTTTGAGGTTATACTGCTTCCATTCTCATCACTAGCAGGAACTTTAGTGATATATAAAAGCTGAGTATGCAGTAGAACATGAGAGCCAGTGTCCATGTTAGACAGAACATGCAAGGCTAGTGCAGACAGCTGTTGAGTCAATGAGGTGAGCAGTGTGCTGCAACCATAGCAGGCTGAGTTGGACAAAACACAGCAGAGTTCAGTAAAGAATCAGATTTTGATCTGCTTTATTGGAGTCAATACAATCTTTTAAAATATGCTCAATACCGATCCTCACGATCTGCTTGGGACATCCCAAAAAACTCAGTTAAAGTCGTAAAATTAAACATTGCCACAAGCAGCAATTTTAAGATGGTACAGAGTCGGAATGTGCTAAAGTAAAATTATGGTATGTTGGTTAGCCAGCAAGTTGCCCCAGAAGCAGGTCTTTGTGCAAAATGCAAAATCCTTACACACTGATGTTATTGGGTGGAGCCACACAGGAAATTGCCTTTAAACATCCATGTATTAATAATAATAATAATCTTTATTTGTAGATCACTTTTCAAAAACAAGTTACAAAGTGCTTTAACAAGTGTAAAAACAACACAATAATGTGATTCAAGAGTCAAAGGCTGTGACTGTGTGGCAGCATTAGGTTGGGGCTAGGTGGGAGCTATACACCACCACGAGCCCCAACATATCCCCATCAAAAGAAATATCTGACATGTGACATTTACAATTGTAAATTATTTTATTTTATCCAGCTTCTGATTCCTCAAATCCAATTGCCCCCCCCAATTACCATAGCAACCAAGCAGCACAAGCAATATGCACTTGGATTACCTGAGTGAGTTTGTCACTCAAGATATATTTTCTTTTGAAATCTTGTTACTCAGTTTGTAATGATATGTGATAGAAACTAGCAACGGCATCTCCCGACAAAACAAGCGAACAAAGGAAGAGAGGAAAGCGAGCGGGGAGAAAAGTGAAACTAAATAAGATTGGAACAAAGGATTTCCCACTCCCTCGCCTACTTCTGGCTAATGTCCTATCGGTGGAGAATAATATGGTGGAAGTAAGACTAAGGCTCGCTCAGCACTGGGAAACCAGAGACTTCTGTGCCCTCATCTTCACAGAGACCTGGCTGCATAGCAGCGTACCTGAGGAACACCTAACACTTAACACCCAGCTGATTAAAAGGGTCAAGCCAACAATTAAAACACTGGTCAGATGTGGACAGATGAATCTACAGCAGCTCTACAGGACTGTTTTGGGAGCACAGATTAGAGTATGTACAGAGAGGCCCGCCCAGGACCAGCACTTTGAGGAATATACATCATCAGTGACATCATGCATCAGCAAATGTGTTGATGATGTGTTGATCACCAAGACTATAAAATCATTCCCCAAACAGAAGGCCTGGATGAATGGAGAGGTGAGGGCTCTATCCAGAGCCAAAAAAGCTGCATTTCGGTTGGGTGATAAAGAAGCTTATAGCACCGCCAGGGCGAGACTGAAAGCTGGCATCAAGGAGGCAAAGCTGAGACATTAGAGACAGACGTCAACACCAACAATACCAAAGATATGTGACTGGCCATCAAAAACATCACAGGCCACAAAAGCAGGAACTCCCCCATCATATGTGAGACCACATTACCCGATGAACTTAACACCTTTTGTGCTCGCTTTGATCTCCTCAACAAGGAGTCAGCTGTAAAGTCTACTCCACCTCCAGAGGACCGGCCACTGTCAGTATCCACAGCAGATGTGAGGAGAGTCCTGCAGAGAGTGAATATGTCCAGTCTGAATGACTACTGCCCTGTGGCACTCACTCCCATTCTGATCAAGTGCTTTGAGAAACTGGTTCTTCAGCTCATAAAGAAAAACCTCCCAGCCAGCCTGGACCCTCATCAGTTTGCTTTCAGAACCAACAGATCCACAGAGGATGCCATCTCCACTGCCCTCCACTCAGCCCTCAGACATCTTTAGAAAAACAACACCTACATCCGATTGCTGTTTGTGGATTTCAGCTCAGCATTCAACACAATCTCCCCCATGAAACTGATCCGCAAACTCAGCACTCTGGGTTTAATAAAAACACTCTGCAACTGGATTTTAGACTTCCTCACAAAGAGACCCCAGTCAGTTTGGATTGGTGGACACACCTCCTCCACTCTAGTGCTCAACACCGGAGACCCCCAGGGCTGTGTGCTCAGCCCCCTTCTGTTCTTGCTGTACACCTACGACTGCATTCCCAGACACGGAGAGAACACTGTTATGAAGTTTGCGGACGACACCCATCATCGGCCATGTTCTTGTCAGCTTTTACCGAGAAGCAATTGAAAGCATCCTGACTGGAAACATCACAAACTGGTATGAGACAGGAGGGCTCTGTGTTTTTAGTCAACAACTAAACAATATTTCAACAGTATTCAGTTTTCACATCAAACTGGAGGGATAATAATTAATAAGCACTCTAATAATACATTCTAAATTTAAGTAAACTAAAATAAATAATTAATTTCAGATAAAAATAAATAAAAAGTGTAGCTTGAAGTGATGAAGTGCAGTCTTAACCAATTTACATCAACACATCTTAACAAATGAACAGCTGTAATGCCTCCTCTTCTCTTTCATTCCCTCTTATAGAGCTACTACTGTTGAATAATTCCTTGTTGTTTCTTAAGTGGACATAAATTGACATGTTTGTTCAACTTAAATTGACATGTTTGTTCACTTTGTTGGTTTGCTGTAGTTTATCTAAAAACTCACCATGCTGTAAGTGTTTGTAGTGTAGCCATTGGGAGAATAAATGTGGTCTTGCTGGGTGAAGGTGTTGACCACTGTCATTATTCTTTCAATGTAAGGTTTGACTACTAAATGTTTAATGAGTGTTTACCAACTAGTATTTCATTCTTATATTCTGTGTGTTATTCATGAACCTGTGCCTTTTCAATGTGCCAACATGAGCAGAGCAGCTGCCTAACAACCGTAACATCCTACTTTCTCTTGTTCAGTGAGAAACATGAGCTCTAACTTGTCCTGCCAGCTAGGATGCCTGTCGGAATGCACAGATTTGATTGGCTAAGCAGAGTCACATGAGACGATTGGAGTACATGCGATTGGTCTGTGAGTTTCCTGGTCCGCTAAACCGGTACAGTAAATGCTAGAAAAGCAGCTCAGGTTAAAAAGAAGAAACGCTCCGTCACGAGGTAGTAATTCTCAATAATAAATCCGCTGTAGGTCTGAGTCCGGAGAGGACGGTGCTGGGTCCGGATCCAGCCCGCGGTCCGCCAATTAGTGACCTCTGATATACAATATAAAAAATGATGTCATTGCAAACCCTTTGTACTCCTGAGAAGATCTCATCAGGAAAATAATAATCGCCTTTGCCAGTGAACCATGAGTTTGTAGGGGCTAAAATATCAAATAATTCAGCTTAAGGTTCAGCTTTGTTTTTTTACATTGAGTTTTTTTTACGTTGACTTTGTGACTTATTACCTCGTTTTTTATAGTACTATGTTTTTCTTTTACTCACTTGTATGTGCAGATGTTCTTTTTCTCTTCTTTGGTACATCATAATCCTCCCTGTATCTGGTGACAATGTAGTTCTTCACTTCACCAGCAGGAGTGTCCAAATGCAGAGACACTGGCTGGTTGCTGTTATGGTCGACTGTTGACTTCAATGGAGGGCAGGGCACTGTGGAAATAACAATAATTAAAATGTTGATAACAATAATAATAATAATAATACTGCACATAATTTATTCCCTTTCTGCGGAACAATAGATTGCATAAAGCTGACCTTTACCACGTTACAACAATTTTCATGGCAAGTTGTCTTGATAAAGTTCTACTACTCAGTCAGATATTGGGAGACAAAAATGCTTTATTGTATTTAAAGGTTTTGCAAACCTTTGAACTATTCTATTCTCATCACTGGCAGTGTGGTGATATATAAAAGCTGAGTATGCAGGAGGAGAAGAGAGCCAGTGTCCATGTTAGACAGAACATGCAAGGCTAGCGCAGACTGCTGTTGAGTCCATAAGGTGAGCAGTGTGCTGCAACCATAGCAGGCTGAGGTGGACAAAACACAGCAGAGTTCAGTAAAGAATGGATCATATTTTGGTGTTTCATTGGTTGGAGCTGCACAGGAAATTGCCTGTAAACATCCATGTATTAAAAACAACTCTGTAAATTTCCTACAATAATGTGCAATTAAACTAACAGCATCAAGAGTCAAAGGTTGTTTCTGAAACCACTGTTTACTAGCCTATTATGGTCCACTGCACCCTGCCATTTAATGTTGGTGTCCGACTTGCATGTTCAAAACACCTAACCTATATAGTGCCCTCAACAATATGTACAATGGAATGAAAAAAGTAGTGTCTGTGCCAACTTTTTTCTATGGTCGATTAAGCTGAAAAGCGGCCTATTCCCCAGCCGATAGATCGGCGTATCTCCAGTGGGTGGGTGATTAAAGCCTTTAATAGACCTATACTCCGGTGCAGACCCGTAAACGGACAGCTGCAAACACTACTGAGGCGGGCCACTTCTGTTTATTCTACTTTCTGGAGACTGCTTGGCTGACTTGTTCCACACATGCGCAGTAGATCTGTTTGTGCCCTAGTAGCGTAGTAGGCGTGCGTCACAAAAACTCAAGTATATCCAGCCATAGGTCTGCAGCCCGCAGACCTGATGGAAGTTGACGGAAGTTGAACTTCCAAATATGGTTTGTCCCAGAAGACACAGCACACAAAACGTGATGATGTTAATCTTGGCTCACGTACAGTATAGATCCTAATGTTAACCGTTTTATTCTTTAGAGGCCAACAACAGAACTTTAAATACACTTCTGAGAAGTTTTGAGGCGAGAAATCAACTGTGTAGAGGTTGAATATCGGCAGTCTGACGAAAATTGACGGCGAATCGAAAATGTGTTCAAATGTTTTCGGAGTTGACAAGTGCCGACCATGGTGCCGGCGGGTGTCAATATATAGCTACAGTAACGTTAACGGAGGCTGCACAGCAACACAATGGAGGTTAGTCATATCTGCTAGCGGCCGATGTGCGCCACTGTAGGGTTAACGTTGACCGGTTGACATTGACGTGGATACAATCAATAACTTTAGGCACACACCCTGTGATGGTTAGGGTAAGAGTAATATACTTCGGGGGGCTGTCAGGAATAGTTAACCAGCTAGCTCCGGTTAGCTCACCCAGGTCCAGTCACACAGACCACTGCAGCCAACACAGCAGACGTGTCCAGCAACAGCTGAACAATAGTGTCAATGTTCGTAACGCTATTCTATCATTAAATTCTCAGTAATGTTGTAAAGTTTTAACCTAAATCAAGGTACATCTGGCTCGTGATGTACAGAAGATTCTTGGTTTGTGAAACTTAAAATCTCTTTGGAGCAAATAAAATATACAACAACAGTGTGAATTGAAACACTGCTTTATTATTGTCATTACGCTGTTATAAATAAATATTTACAGTATTAATATACTATAATAATAGTATAGAGTAAATATTTACGCATAATGTACACTGATTGGTACGTTGACACTTATTTATCGGCTGTTTTTTTTTAACGGCTCTGCGTGGGCCGAGATAAACGTCATCAAACAAGCTAGGTAATGACAGCTTACACACTGCCATTCACTTTTCCATACTTCACCGGTCTTGTGCCGAGTTTTGCGACATGACGTGCATGCATTTTCGGCCACACGGCATGCACGTCGCGGTTCTTTGTAGGGCTATTCCAAGTAGACAATTGTTTAAAAACGATATAATATTCTTTGCGTGGTTCATCAATGGTGATCAATGGTCCGAACGAGAATCTGGTGGACATAATAAGTGGAGGATGACCATCTGGCAACAAGAGACGGTGATGAGGGTGAAGATGAGGATAGAGAAAGGGAGCAGCAGCAGACCACTGTGGAATGCTAACTGGCAGAGCTCATTCAACCTGCTTTTACTTTTTGCAGTGGTATCATATATGAAAAATGATGTCATTGCAAACCCATTGTACTCCTGAGAAGATCTCATCAGGAAAAATATAAATCAACTTTCCGAGTGGACCATGAGTTGGTAGGGGCTAAAATATCATCCAATTCAGCTTAAAGTGATACTATGTGATACTGCAGAGTTTGTTGTTAAATATTTAAATATGTATTGAAGCAAAATACTTTTCTAAGCCTAAATCTAAGACACAAAGTCTAGTTTATTTATCGGTAAAGGAAAGGAAAATTGAGACAACAATTAGTGAACAAACATCATCAAACAAACAATATGTGTAAGTTAAGCACACAAACACTGCACCCAAAACACAACAGAGTAAAAAACTAGGGAGTTATTTGATATCATATGTACAAAAATACAGTGACTGATAAGCATCGGTTTTCATTCCTTTCAAATCTAGTTGATTTATACAGCATTGAAACCCCTCACAGAAGTTAACACAGGTCTTCACCTTGCCTGGTCAAATAACTTGTTTCACAATCCCTTAGACCTTTAACAGGCTGTTTCTCAGTCATCGTCACAGCTAGAGTCCCGTAAAAAGTCCAGCATGTTCGAATGTACCGCTGTTTGTTTACTTTCTCTCTCCCACTGCTTCGAGCGCTCCGAGCAGCTTTGTTTGTGCTAAATTTACAGACCTAGGGGCTGTGTAGGAAAACCGGATTTTTTTAAGAGCACACGAAAAAGAGAGAGCTACCTACCCATGAGGAAATATTGGCCAAATTTAACAAAAAGTGTATTGGATTAAAATAGCAAAGTACCCCTTTAAGCTTCAGCATTCAGCATTTATCCATATTATTCCTCTTTTTACAGAAAAATTGTTTTCCCTGGGAAGGACTTTGTGACTTATTGCCTCATTTTTATAGTCCTATGTTTTTCTTTTACTCACTTGTATGTGCAGATGTTCTTTTTCTCTTCTTCGGTACATCATAATCCTCCCTGCATCTGGTGACAATGCTGTTATGGTCTGTTGACATGAAAGGAGGGTAGGGCACTGTGGAAATACCAATAATTACATTGTTGTTGATAATAATAATAATACTGCACAACATTTAGTGGCTTCCTGCTGAACAGTATATTGCATAAAGCTGATCTTTACCACTTGAATCGTCAGTCTGTTGACAGCCACCCTTGCTGCCAGGCCATGGTCTTGATGGAGTGTCCTCTGCTTCCTCACAGTTAAGTGAATGAAATGAATCTTCATCACTTATTCCCTTGATAAATAAGAACAATATAATGGAAAGTAATCAATCATCTCATTATGCCATGCACAGTACATTAACCTATAGAACATTATTTCCATTTTATTTACTGGATCTTTTGGAAATGGTGAGTTCACTCTCAGTCATCCCACACTTACTCAAGATTATTCAAACAGCTTTTCACTGAAAGCAATAACAAATAGAGTTTAATTCCCCAAAAACCTTAAATATCCAACAAAATTTAAAATTCCATGCAGCCTACATGACTGACACACTTTCTTGATCACAACCATCACTTTTTACTCTAATTCATTTGTAGTGAGCTGGGGGCTGGGCAAAGTGTGTGGCCGCCCCCAGCGCACGGTTCAAAGATGGACAAACAGCACTACAGAGCACATTTATTCACTAGGTTGTTCTTCTTGTGTAATTCTGGCAGTGTAGACATCGTTGGATGCTCGAAGAAGTGGGAAATAATAATAATAAATAGTCATCTGGTTTATTAAAAGTAAGAAGAGAAGTGGCATCTGGACAAATGGAGGACTAACGTTACAAGTATAATTTAGAACGAGCCGACAGCATGTGGATCTTTGTCGTCAAAGAAGCCTAAATGTCACACTGCCTGTCTGATTTGTTTTGTTTAGTTTAGGTCTCTGTGAGTTTTGTTTATTGGTCAGTTTGGTATCTGTTATTTAGTCTGTATTTTGGGTTTCATTCCTGTCTGTTTTCTTGTGTCCAGTTTACTCTGGGTGTTTTTGCTTGTTGGTCTGATCCTGTCTGTTGTCTCTTGTTGGGGAGTCTGTTTGTGTTGTTCTGTTATCTTGTCTACTTTGTCCACTCTGTGTTACTGGTTCAGTCCATGTTTTCTGTTTTTGGGATTTGTTCCTTGTTTTGTTTCCCCTGTTTAGCCTTGTTATTTACAGTGTTCATTTGCACATTCAGTTTATCTCACTTAGTACCTTTTCTGTCTCGTATCTTGGCTCTGTGTGTTTGTTAATGTCTTTGTATTTACTCCTTGTTCTATGTCTGCTTTGTTTTGGAGTTGTCTGCTCTGTGTTCTGTTTAATCCTTGTTTCAGTCTGTTTCCCCTGTTGGTTGTAGTTTATGTGTATTATTTGTGATCTCTCTGCTTATGTTCTGGATTAGTTTGTTATTTAATATTCTGATATGTTCTGTCTTCTTTTGATATTATCGGTGCCTGCCTTAGTTTCCCTACTGTTGTGATTGGTTTCTGTCTGTTAGATGTCAGTTTATGTTCCCTGTCAGTTTCATTTATTCATTTGGTTACGATTTGATCACTCGGTGTTAACCTGTTTTGTTCTGTTCAGCCACCTTAGTCTGTTTTGTCTTGTGGAGTTGCCTGTATTTCTCAGTTACTTGGTCTGTCTTGTCTGTTCTGGGTTTTGAGTTCCATTTAGAGTCTTGTCTTGTGTTTCGCAACCTGTTAGTGTCTGTCTGTTTTCCCCTGCTGTCTCTCTGCCTGCCTGTGTCTCATTAGTCTCATCTCTGGGTGCTTCTCAAGTCTCTTAATTGCATCCACGTTTCCCTCACTTGCGTCTTTTCCTAGCGTCTTAGTCCTGCCCACCGGAGTTTCATGGAGAGACGAAAGGAAACCAGGCCAGGAGAGAAGGAACGAGGAAATATGTTTTTAGAGACGTCCTTTCCTCCGAAGCGTCACGTGAGGCGATGTTCGTTTCTGATGACGGCAGCAGCTGGATCAGCGGTCAGTCGACTCTAACAGCTGTAGAGACTTTTGATGGAGTTTGTATCTGCACACATGTGCACTGTGTTGTTACTCAGTCTCAGTTAACGGTGCAGAGCAGCATGATTCTCAGTAACCTGGTTAACAAACACCTGCACATGAATAATTATAGGTTGCTGTATGTCCTGCTCAGAAGCACAGAATCATTTCTACTGGCACAATAGCCCTAGTTCATATTGAACTAACTTCATTCCACAGTAGCAATAGAAGACTAAAAACCTGCTCCAAACAGTGTGTGTGTGTGCGCGAGAGAGAGCTAAATCAGACACGACGCAGAAACTCATGTAACTCATCATCATTGCAGCTAAATTTATTTCCTCATGCAACAAACAGAGAACCGTTGTTGTCTGTATAAAGTAACTTAATTATCACATTATTAATTCCTTATATATTTTATATGTGAATTTGCGCTCTGGAACATTGCAACCTAAACAACCTAAACATTCATGGCAATGGGCAAGAGAGAGAGAGAGAGAGAGAGATCTCTCATCTCATGGAAACAAGTTTCTGCCACATATCAAAGTTTCCTTCTCACTAGAGGAAGAGGTGTCCAGGCTGGACCCTGATCCTTCTCACAAGAGGTGTAACAATAACTATCACAATAGAAAGTAAACTGTCTTTATTCCCCTGCAGCAAAGTCGCAGGCATCAACCCAAGGATTGGTACGTGATGTCACCATCACACGGAAGCGCTTCTGCCGGCTGCACATACAGGTCCGTGTGTGGCGGTGGTGACATTTACTGATCCGTCAGAAAAGCTTGGGAAAATGTAGCGTGTGTGGAAGCTACCGCACTACTCGGTCAATAAAAGAGCTTCGTTACTGAAAAGCTATTTGATTCAGAAAATAAAGACGCTACCACCAAGCTACTGAGAAATGTAGTTAAACTAGTAATGACGCTACTACTGAGTGAGCAGTTTTTGAGAGGGGGTTGTAGCCAATTCCATGGTCTGGTCGCTGCCACACCGACCACTGGTCGCTGCCTTGCTGCCTTGCTGCCAGGCTGCCACACCGACCACTGGTCGCTGCCTTGCTGCCTTGCTGCCAGGCTGCCAGGCTGCCACACCGACCACTAGTCGCTACCACAGTCTAAGGGAAGGCTCCTTTCTGTTCCTTGTTACACAAACTGCGGCTGTAAACATTTAAAAACAGTCTATGGTTCCAAAGTAGACCTAAAGTGACCTTAGATCATTTAAATTCTCTCAACTGGCAAATGATACAATTTTTATTTTGTCTAATAGAGAGAAATGGATCAAAGCAATTAGATGTGTTGAGAGTTTTTCTACTGTATCTGGCTTAAGAATGAACTTGAACAAATCTGTTTATTATTTACATTAAAAAGGATAAACAGGCTTAAATGAGCATACTAATTTACTACCTTACAGCGCTACATATGATAATATGCTTGCTACTGTGCGCCGGAAGCCATCAATGCGTAAAATAATAACGATTAAATATTATAACTACTATAAAGGGCTCTCTCCTTGAGCAATAGTCTTTGGTGGCATTTTTCACGCTATTGAAACTGTTGCAATATCTCGCAGACCTCAGGGGCAAGTAGTGAACTGCTGTGTGTGTTTTTGCGTGTGGGCATGAGATGAGGCTCCACACTGCTGCCACACTGGTCGGTGTGACGTCGCTGCCACTTGGGGCGCTAAAGACAGTGGTCGCTGCCACACTGACCACTGGTTGCTGTTGGTTATATCTACTGTAATACATCTTTATCATAATTCTTTTTTTAATATATTATTGATTATACCTACTCTTATTGTTGCACTATATATTGCAATTTGTGTGGTTATACCTACAGTAATAGCCTACATCTATCTATCTTTAGTCCTTGCCTATAACAAGGCCTGTGTTATCACCTGTGAATGAAAGTGTGTACATCTTTCTATATCACAATACTTTGTACAAAATACTATATTAAATCTTATTGATGCACTGTAGGCCTACAGTATATTGCAGTTTGAGTGGTTGTAGCCAATCTACAGTAGGCTACATCTATCTACATCACAATACTTTTATAAATATAGCCTACAATATTATCGATTATGCCTATATTCTTATTGTTGCACTGTATATTGCAGTTTGTGTGGTTAACCTACAGTAATACATTTCTCTATCTATGGTTCTTGCCTACAAGAAGAAGGCCAGTGTTGTCACCTGTGACGGAAAGTGTGGTGATCACTTGTTGGTTGAATCCAAGTTAGACTGAGTTTTAACAATCAGATTATAGTTAATCAAAAAATTTGTAGGCTATATTTAACAAAGTAGTATGATCTAGATATATTTGTTACTGTAGATAGGCTATAACCACACAAACCGCAACATATAGTGCAACAATAAGAGTAGGCATAATCGATAACATAGTATATTTAACAAAGAATTATGATGATTACAGTAGATATAACCAACTGCAACCAGTGGTCTGTGTGGCAGCGACCAGTATCTTTAGCGCCCCTAGTGATAGCGACCAGTGGTCTGTGTGGCAGAGACCAGTGGTCGGTGTGGCAGCAACCAGACCACATAATTGGCTACAACCCCTGCTGGAGTTTTTTTGCAATTCACGACACACTCCACTAGAACTTACGCACTTAACCTGTAATAGGGCCCCAGTCACCAGGGGTGGGTAGTAACTCATTTCAAGTAATGCAAATTTGTAAAAAAGTAGTCTTAGGATCAGTAAACTTTCACATTCTTTTTTAACTGTACTTTTACTCTTTACTCAAGTATTTTTTGGGCCTATAACCTTAATTTAAAACTTTGCTTCATTTGCAGTTTTTCCTTCATTACAACTTGCTGCATTAACCGAAATGAGCCGTTATCCAAGCAGTGTGCACGGTTACGCAGGAGAGCTTTAACCGGATCACTTGTTATATTAATGAAATATTAATGATTTAAAATCAGTTAGTGTGATAAAAACAGGATGGCCCAATGAGGGCTACACTTAAAACCTACATGTGTGTGAGTGACTGTCAAAAAAAAAAAAAAATTCCAAAAATACCCTTTATAAACATGCACCAGATCATAAGGTGTAAATTTATGGCTGTAATAACTTGAGTTTACATACTGAAAGATGGTGAGATAAAAATGAGAGGGCCCCGTGAGGGCTAGACTAGAAACGTATGTGTGATGTTAAATCTGTTTCTTTAATCTGAAGTCATCATCCAATGAGTTATCCTGACTGGAAACCTGTATCAGCAAAAGCAACGAGAACACCTTCCTGTGTGCTGGCATCCTTCCTTTCTTGGTAATAGATGTATAGGTCAACAGTTTCTGACGACAGTGTCTACTTTGCTCCATTACCTGTGTGCTGGCATCTTCTCTGTTTGAGTCCTCATGGGGCGTCAGATCTGATGGGAACGTCTCGGTCTCTTCTGCTATAGCAGGAGCCTGCTTGTTTATCACCTAGAATTCAGATAAAAGACAAGAACGCATAAAGAACTGAGAGAAATCATGTTTGTGCAGATATTCAGAAGCTGCAAAACTTAGCTCATGTGAAAACTGCTTTGGAAACGGCATTTAAATGAAAGCTAATTGCATGGCCTCTTTTCTAGAAAACTTAACAGTCAAAGCAATGCATAGGGGGCTGACAGAATGACTTTCAAAATACCTTTTATAAACATGTAACAGCTCAGGAAGTGTAAAATTGTGGCTGCAATAACCAGGCATGCAAACTGTCAAGGGTAAAAAAGTGAGAAGGATACTCAAGCAGAGAAATGCACAGAGACAATGTAAGAGGGTCTGTTTTTAAGCTTACATAGATAACATGCATTTCTCTACTGGACATAAGGGCTCACAAGACATGGTGATGCACGACAACGAGATGTGACGATATGTTAACACCATTTTATAGAAATCATCTATGCTGAAATATTTGTGTTGTGGGGATCTTCCCCAGTGGGGAGTCATTCCCAGAAAACTTTGAGCATAAAACACTTAATTTCCTGCATTCTGGTGAATTTTCTGTTCTGCCTTTCATTCATCAATTTATGGTGGAAATGTTTTATTTATGTAAAGGGAAACACAAAATTCAGGTGCAGGTGACAATTCAAAATCTATAAACATTGCAGAATATAATGCAGTGCAGCTCTCATTCTGTGTTGCTTTCACATATGTTTCTCCTTTAGATGAACTTTTCTGATGTAATATCTTCCCTGCTGAATTGGCACACATGCAGACATGATTTAGTCTCCCTCCTCTTTTGTCTTGTTCACAGGGAGAGAACGGAAAATTTGGCCAAAAAGAAACTGTGACAAGAAGTTGTTAAAGTTACTGACTGGTGCTGCACGTTTTGGGGTCATTGTATAATCAGTAGCTTGTTTATTCTTACTTTAAAAAATTAATAAATAAATAAGTGCAAATAAACCTTTCTCAAAGCACTTTCGTTGGTTCTTTGCCATTTCATGTTGCAAGCTTTTTTTCAAAGCATTTTTAACAAACGCTTTCAAAAAGTGACAGGGACGTGTTCCCAGCGTCCCCAGTGTAACACAGATGCCAACACGTTTTATCCTGTTGACGTTAAACTACATTACATCCAGGTTGCTGCCACTGCTCTGAACAATTACCTTAGCTAACATTAATGGTAAATAACAGTGGGCAAAGTTTAATAATAATAATAATACATTTTATTTCTATAGCGCTTTTCAGGACACTCAAAGACACTTTACAGTAAAAACAGAAGTTATGCATTTAAAACAGATTAAAACATAAATAGCATAATATATATGAACAGTAGATAAAAGCAGCAGAATTTTGGATATATTGAAGTTTAATTAGGGCTTTGGCAGGTGAACCATAAAGGATGCTTTTGCAGTAGTCAATTCTGGCTGTAATGAAGGCGTGGATCAGGGTTTCGGCAGCAGAGAAGGTGAGTGATGGGCGGAGACGGTCGATGTTTTTGAGGTGAAAGAAGGCAGTCCTGGTGACATGGTTGATGTGGTAGATATCACTTTTGGGGTGGGTTGGGGTAACAATTTCATAAATTCAGTGGCGGATTTGCAGTTGGTGTCGTCAATGTGGAATGCTCTGAGAGCTGGGTCAGGAAATGAGAGAAGTTGGAGAGCAAGGTGGGGTTTGGCTTGGGGGGGGTGGTAGATGATGGCTGTGACAAGGGATGTCACAGGATGAGAGTTTTATTGCTTAATTATCGAGTATAGAGCAGGGCCATTTTCAGGTTGTTTTGGGATTTGTTGGGAGGACTGGGGGAGAGGATGGAGGTTGAAGAGATTTACAGTGGGTACGGAAAGTATTCAGACCCCTTTAAATTTTTCTCTCTTTGTTTCATTGCAAGCAATTTTCCAAAAATCAAAAAAGTTCATTTTATTTCTCAGTAATGTACACTCAGCACCCCATCTTGACAGAAAAAAAACAGAAATGTAGAAATTTTTGCAAATTTATTAAAAAAGAAAAACTGAAATATCACATGGTCATAAGTATTCAGACCCTTTGCTCAGTATTTAGTAGAAGCACCCTTTTGATCTAATACAGCCATGAGTCGTTTTGGGAAAGATGCAACAAGTTTTTCACATCTGGATTTGGGTATCCTCTGCCATTCCTCCTTGCAGATCCTCTCCAGTTCTGTCAGGTTGGATGGTAAACGTTGGTGGACAGCCATTTTCAGGTCTCTCCAGAGATGCTCAGTTGGGTTTAAGTCAGGGCTCTGGCTGGGCCATTCAAGAACAGCCACGGAGTTGTTGTGAAGCCACTCCTTCGTTATTTTAGCGGTGTGCTTAGGGTCATTGTCTTGTTGGGAGGTAAACCTTCGGCCCAGTCTGAGGTCCAGAGCACTCTGGAAAAGGTTTTCGTCCAGGATATCCCTGTACTTGGCCGCATTCATCTTTCCCTCGATTGCAACCAGTCGTCCTGTCCCTGCAGCTGAAAAACACCCCCACAGCATGATGTTGCCACCACCATGCTTCACTGTTGAGACTGTATTGGACAGGTGATGAGCAGTGCCTGGTTTTCTCCACACATACCGCTTAGAATTAAGGCCAAAAAGTTCTATCTTGGTCTCATCAGACCAGAGGATCTTATTTATCACCATCTTGGAGTCCTTCAGGTGTTTTTTAGCAAACTCCATGCGGGCTTTCATGTGTCTTGCACTGAGGAGAGGCTTCCGTCGGGCCACTCTGCCACAAAGCCCCGACTGGTGGATTGCTGCAGTGATGGTTGACTTACTACAACTTTCTCCCATCTCCCGACTGCATCTCTGGAACTCATTTTCAAATTTCTACATTTCTGTTTTTTTCTATCAAGATGGCGTGCTGAGTGTCCATTACTGAGAAATAAAATGAACTTTTTTGATTTTTGGAAAATGGCTGCAATGAAACAAAGAGTGAAAAATTTAAAGGGGTCTGAATACTTTCCGTACCCACTGTACATGTGAATTTTTTGATGACATGGTGGGGAAATGCGTTTTGACCACAATGAGGGGATGCAGTTTGGCGCTGAGAAGTGGTATGAAAATATATAAGTTATAAATAAGTTATAAACATTACTGGATCTGACAGGACAGTTAACGCTGTAAACTAGCTTACTTCTGTCTTACATCAGGCTTTCTTTCTGATGGGCAGCTCATACTGCAGTCTTTTACCGTCCCCACGTGTTCAGCCGTCAGACTCTACAGTGTACTGGACTAAAAAAAAAGCCTCTGGTTGGGTTGAGGCATTAGGAGTAACGATTGGTTAGGCACAGCCAGTTGTAAAGTTGCAAAGCTCATGCTAGAGAGGAGAGGACTTGTTAGAGGACTAATTGCTGCCCTGCCCCCCCCAAAATGTTCTCATCGGACAAATCACGTGGGTGACCCATTTTTGTTTCAAAATGGCAAATTTCGGCGAAGTTTGCATGCCTGCTTTATACACCAATGAAGTATATGTATATTATTTTGCATTTCTGTCAATAGATACTCCTAAATATTATACACAGCACCTTTAAGTAAATTAAAAGGTGTGTGACAACGATCCCAAAGTAATAAACCCCAAATTATTACTGTCCAAGACTCTTTTCAGTTTTAGCGTAATTATTCACAACATGCTGTCTATTTGCAGTCTACTAATACTAATAATGTTTATATTCAGTTATTCTTAGTGAGCTCTTTGACATCATCTAAATAAAACTAAATACATCAGAAGCATTAAAGTGCTGCATAAACTGTCAATGTCACTAGAATTTGATTTCCCCACGTGAGTCCTGATGATGACCTTCATGTTTAGCCTACTCCGCTTGGGTTCTTTGTAAAAAGTCAGTGTGAGCATGAACTGGACCAGAACTAAAATGGTCCCTGGTCTGGACCAGATGGACCGAACAGTTGTGGAAGCAGCTCGCAGCCTGTATGCTGTGTTTTGGTTTTGGCCCCCTCTGCAATGAACCATCACCTCCACATCTGGTTTGTAGAGTTTGGAAATGTATGACTCCTGGTGTAACTATGTAAAAAGACCCCCACAACTACCCTCTGGGATCACACTATGACCATAAAAGTTATGTTTTTACCTATCTTTGTTCAGTTTCGTAGTTCTTGTGTTGAGCTGTCTCTCTAAAAATAATTCTGGGAACTCTGCATAAGCACATTGAGAGCAGCTTTAATACAAAAAAACCCTCCAGTAGAAAAAAAGTTGTTTAACCAAATATGACCATAAATCAATAATAATAATGGTAATTAAACAATAAAACGCATAATGCATTTTGTCATGTGCAGACTTTATTGATTGGTTTCTTGGGAAGATTCTGCATTACAGTCACCCTACCAAGCAGCACCTTGTGGGAAACCCCCCTCAACCGTTGTCAAGCAGTTTGAAATAAGACACGTGCTTGGTGAACATCTAAAGGGCCGATCAGACAGAGCACGGTTGAAGGTAAAAAAAAAACGTGGTGCACTGCCTTTTTGGTGAAGCCTACAACAAAATAAAACAGCAAGTGGATTTTTTGTTATTGTTGCTGGGCAAACACAGAATCAAATGTTCTTAGCCTAACCCCTATGTTACTGTGTCACAAACTAGCAAATGTGTCCCTTTTATATAGAGGGCCTATATAAAGGGACAATTGGGAGGCCATAAAACGAGGAGTGCAAAAGGCTTACTGCCTATAAAAAACAAGTGGAAAAACCGCGCTCTGTCTGATCACTTCTTGAATCTTATCACTTATTAAAACATTTAAATCATTGCAATATAATCTGCTTACAAATAACATGACTTTAGACTTTAAAATTAGCATCATGTCATGGTCACTATATTAATAAGTTATTTGATGCCATTGGGGCCAAAAAAGACTATGTCTGCCTAGGGAACAATCGTATATATTCATCTGTTGACAAAATCAATTTGATCAGTCAATAAAAATAACATCATTAAAAACAGAGTGAAACGTTTCCTCTGTGCCTGATTCAGCATGTGACAGGCTGAGTCTGGCGCATGGCGAGATTGGTTAAGAGTTCGTGGAAAGCCTCAAGTCCGCCCATCAGGCACACAGCCTAATGGAAAAATCACTGACAAAAGCATATAGAAACCCACCTTTGAAGAAGATGTGCCCATGGCAAATTTGCATTCTTGCCTCCCGTAGCTCTTCTCTTGGCTGTATACGTTGGTAAGCTATATTATTTGTTCTGTAGATGAACCGCCGCACATCTCTGCAAATGCCAATGAAGTCCTGCAGTACAGACACTCCTTTTATTGTGCTGGTTGAAGCAACTTTCACTTTTGGTTTCCAAATGAGAATGTGGTTTACTGTAAACTGCATCACACCACCCCTCCCCCCAGTATAGCGCCAATTCATAACACAATTTATTACAAGGTACAAGGTCGGTTTATTTGTCAGATTACAACAGGTTGTAAAGTAAAAGTGAGTTTGTGACTCCCTTCTGCTATGCAGCAGACAATATACATAATACATATATACAGTGTCCAGTGGCTGCTCCCAGCACAACGTCCCAATATAGATCAGCATATTAAATTTTACTTTGAGCCAATTAATCAAACGAACCAGGCATCACGGTGAGTCCTGATTGCTTCAAAGTAGAGGACGAGAGCTGGGATAGCCTTGCTGGCCCAGCTTGGACTTAAGAGTGTTTGAGCTTGCTTCAAAGACAGGCAGGGGCGGACTGGCCATTGGGGGGGTTTGGGAAGAGTTCCGTAATGTTTTACTTTGTGATCCACGACAGCGCTGGCCTGGCCGGCCGCAGTGGAACGCTGTCTGTCTGTGTGCCTATCAGACTGGGCCAAATAACTTTTAATTTTGAGGGGGAATATAAGCAGCCCCTCCCAACGTGGACTGATCCTCGTTTTTGCTGAAATCGGAGTGGTTCAACGCCGTCTCCATCTGAGACGAGTTCAATCTCAAAATGTTTATCCAGGATTGTGTGGCAAGTGCAACAGAGACAGTAATATGGTGTAAAGAAAGAGGAAAAAGAAATGTGTGGTGCAGAGAAAAAAAAAAAGAACTGCAAATGCTGGCACAAGAGGCAGCTAAATGCGCCAAATTAACTGACCTCTTCATTGGTGTCAAGGTGCAGCAACAGGCGCAGATGAGGCAGGACCCAGCACAGGCAGGGATAGGTGCATGATTAGTAATGCATTTATTATATAGCTACTGAAATTATTTATATATGATTTATTTATAGCCATATTCGTTATATATATACAATATATTATAAACGACAGTTTGCAATGTGTTATCACAAAGAGAACATCGTAGAAGTGAGGAATTTCTGTTGGCTTTGTCTGTAGCCCATGGAGCCTATATTAGCTGTTAAGGTCAGTGGAGGTGATGGAGAGGGACAGGGTGATGATAACCCCAGTCATGTTGATAAGGAGGGAGAGGAATTATAGGAGAAACAGGAGGTGCTGCATGAGAAGGATGAGGAAGAAAAGCAGGAGGAGAAGGTCAATGGAACCAGACAAAACAGTGACAGGTACAGGGGCCTGTGTGTAGGGCTGAGTCGGCAATCATATGATGCTGAAAAAAACTGAATATGAATAGCAGAATTTGAAACTGAATTTAATAGTTTGAATCTGAATTCCATTAAACTTGAAACTGAATGTCATATTATGAAACTGAATTCTGTTGAGACTAAAATTGTATTTGAGCCTCACTAGAAATTCAACTCTATATGTACCTTGACTTTCAGTTCTCTCAATTCAAATTCGGTTCTCTAAATTCAATTTCAATCCACAAGATTCACTTTCAAGGTCACAGACACATCAAGGTCATTCAGGAAGAGCAGATGCACAGAGCTCCTTTTTGGCTGATCAGCAGGTTTGTTTTTGACCATTTCCTGGACCTGTAGCAGAGATGTCACGTTAGACAGCAGTGGGAGGCAGCAACGCACCGAACAGTGTTGAGTCGGCTGGAAAAAGAAGAAGACGTTACATCAGCTTGTAGGGATTGATGCATGTAAACATTTCTTTTGATCATGGATGAGGCTGGGACAGGGTTGTCAAACACAGTAATATTAGTATACCATTTATCTTAACGATATTTTAACTGTTTAACCATGTAAAGTATATATATTGTTGTAGAGTTTTGTTTTGTCAGGCGGGAAAAAAACTAAGTTTCATGTTCATAATTAAATTAGCCTACTAGCACGTGAAGATAGAAATATTAGAAAACAGTTAAAACTAAGCTCATATTGTGGTTGACCAGATAACAGACTTTTGTCCCCAGCTATTTCAGCGGTGTTGGCACAGTGTGCCTGACATTAAGCAGATGGGGTTACCATTAACGGTATGTTCATGTCATTGATTGTAAGTCATCATGGATAAGGAAACCGTCCAGTTAAACTACTTAAATACTTAAATTAAATATTTGCAAAAATGACTGTTACATAATAACGGCTTGCTTGTCAGCCTTAACATTTTCCACTTATTAAAAACATGTTAATGATTATAAAATCTATGATGAGATTTTTAGTTACGTCAATGAAGATCGGCTATAATGATAGAAGAGGGTTGATCCTTTGACATGATCAGAACGGTGACTTGAAAAAGCAAAGAAGCCATGAACAAACTGATTTCATTCAATTCAGGTGTTCAAATTTAGGAAAAGCTTAGATAAAACAACACAGTGTACTTTGGGAGATACATTTTTGTCCAAAGTGTGCTGTGTGGTCTGCACAAATTTTAGCTAGGAGTATAGTGATTATAGGCACTGTCCAGACATTTACAAATTAGTTTGTAGTAGAGTTGCTATGGTATAAGAAACCATATCTGGACAAATAGTGGAACGTTCATACATCTATAAATGTATCATCTATAAACTTTCTTGTGGTCACAAGAATTACTGTTTCATAATTTTGGTGGTTCCTTGTACATAGCGTCCATCACACTTGATATCAACTTTACTTGACAAACTCCATGTCTTACCATCACAGTGATATTAGAATTTATTTATAGTTAAGCAATGTAAGTTCTAGATTATTAGCCTGCATTATCTCGCAACCTCTCTATATCACATCTGCAATTTGGGATATCATTAGTTCCACAAAAAATATATACTAATAATAACCTTACTATAAATGTATGTCATGGTGTCAGAAAATATGTAGTATTTCAATGATTTATTTTGGTATCAGAAAATAAAAGCACCACCTAATGGAATGTGTTGCATTACTTGGTAGATTGTAACACTTCATTAGATTGCTTTTGCAGAACATATTAATTCAGGAGTGCTTAGGAAGACTAAGGGAAAGACTGCAGTGTGCTCTCAACAACAACCCTCCTGACCTTGATTATTTTGAGAGGACCTTCATAAATGCACTCCAGAATGTAGATCTTCCTCATGAGGTCTGTGAAGCACCTGAAGAACTGAGCAGCTTGTTACACCTGTGGAACACTCCTCCATCTTCTATCTCTGTAGTGAGAAGGATGGGTCCCCATGGACTCTTTAGGCTCCAGGTCGCAGAAGACCACCTCCACAATCTTCTTCCGCTAGGTCTTACTGCCACGCGTTTCGCAGACATTCTTGGAGTCTCAAGAAGTACCATCAACAGGAGGATGCAAGAGTACAGTATGTCAGTTAGGAGTCTGTACTCCACCATGTCGGATGATGCTCTGGATCTGGAAGTGAGAGCCATCAAATCTAGAATACCTCACTCTGGATACCAGATTGTCAAGGGGTGTCCTAAAGCAGATGGGCACCATGTACAATGGGCCAGAATCAGGGCTTCAATGCAGTTCTTGATAAGATACAGAAGGCATCTTATCAAGAATGACATATATGGGCTGTGTGGTTAGGCGAGAATACTCTGTTCAAGACCCACATATTCTGCAGCACATAGACACCAATCACAAACTCATCAGGTTTGTTTTTTTGGGAATGTCTTGGAATATAGCATTACAAGAAAAATGGATTTTTGGAATTTATTTGTATTTGTAGGAAATTGATTGTGTCTTTTTAATTAAACCATGTCCTTTTTTCACCTGATACAACATGGTGATATTCGGGTACATACATATACATGATGGCTTCTCTAGGAAGGTAAATTTCATAATATTGCAATTATAATTCAATCAGACAATCAATATTTTACCTTTTAAGAGTTTTCAAATGTGTCATTGAAAATGTTTTGGCTTTACAGGTGTAGGCCACAGCATAGATTTAACTAGAGATTTTGACTTTGCCTACAAATAAGTTATTTTCTTGTTCCTCTCTCTATGCAACTCTACAGCACACATATTGCATATATATTATTCTCAAAATTTCATGTAATCTTGGATTTGGCCTTCTACAGATTGTTTGGTATATTTAAGTTCTTGTAATGTAAAACAATGTAAAACAACAAACATTTAACCCACAAGACCCCATGGGACCCACCATACATACAGCCCCCCCACCCCCACACACAAATGGTCACTTCAGAGATATAGTTTTGCTTAAATCTCTACCACTGTATACATTGGAATGACCACAGATACTCTCTCTCTAGTGTGACTTAACTGCACAGTTGTGGTACTGAGAACGCATCTGCTTGTAATGCGCTCAACAGGGAGGAATGATGAGGCAGTGTTAGACTCTATCCCCTGAATACCCAAACTTCCACAGGCTTTCCAAAGAAATGCCTGTCTGGGTGAGGGTGCAGCCATATTATTTTTGCCACTACGTGCTGAATAATGGAAGTTTGTGTTTTCACAGAAATGACAAGGAATTGTTTCACTATTCCAGGACACACCTCTGCAGTAGGATCAAGGACAGACTCTTCAAAACTTGAATTGTAAACGCATCACTTTGCAGACCTTTTAGCCCTGCCTCCTGTACAAAAAGTCACCCCAAGGGTTCTTACTCTACAGTATGCCTTTGCTAATTGACCAAAGCTTGTCTCTGAATCTGTTAATACTACATTCTTAAATGAGGGTAATGCTTTAACCATCTCCACATCTGGAAAAACAAGTGTTGCAGATGACATACATGAATACTGTTTATGTAGATTACATCAGTGGTGTCATGGATTGACAAGGAACCCACATCTTTTGTAGACAGGATGTTGATGAATCCAGTTGCATAGGCCCTTTGCAGGGGCATCTGGAGCTGTTGACATTGTTGGAAATTCCTCATGACCTGAACCTCAATATTTCTGTTGTTGTTATGATACTTTCCCAGCATTCCATTTAACCGCTCAAATGAGAAACACCAAAAGGCATAGACAGGGCCATAATCTAACAGGCAATCTTTTC